CTTGGCAGACAGTTAAATGTGATTGCATAAGCTGCAGTTTTCAAGGACACACTTTCTTCAAAGTACTGGAGAGGGCAGTAGGCTTCTTTACCCTGGAGCTTACCTGCAGTCACCCTGACTGTCTATATCATCAGAACACAGAAGTGAAGTGCTTCTGAATATAACAAGAATATTATTCCTTCAGTACTTGTAAAGCATTTGGCATAAACCTTTCCTTTCCTTTCCTTTCCTTTCCTTTCCTTTCCTTTCCTTTCCTTTCCTTTCCTTTCCTTTCCTTTCCTTTCCTTTCCTTTCCTTTCCTTTCCTTTCCTTTCCTTTCCTTGAATAATTTCTTAACTGGGATCTCTAGTTTCTTACTTTTAAAAAGGAAATTATATTGTTTTGGAGAGCAATTCAGTATATTTAAAGTGCTGCTTTCAAAGATGTGCTAAAATGTTGATGAGATCAGTTACTTTTATTACAAATTTTTTGTATTAATTGCCAAGTAAATGATGTTAGGCTGAATCTTACTCAGCTGCAGTAGTCATTACTAAAGAAGAAAAAAAATTCTCAATAGAGAAATGGCAAAAATTGAAGAAATAGTGTTTGAGAATTAATTAGATACTGGTTTAATCAGGTCAACATGTTTAATTTCAATGTACAATCGTATAAATAAATCTGAAGTAATGTAAGGTGTAGACTTTTCCTCTGCATACTTGCCAAACAGGAGGCACAAGGAATAGATATTATTACTTATTTTCTAACAGCCCCTCTTCATTATAGCACAGAAGCTTGGGCTCAGTTCTCTCCATTATTCTGAGCCAGCACATTACAAGGAAAAGTAAGATGATCTGAGTTTAAATGTTATTCTGAAGAGTGTATTTCTCTCATACTGTTCTGAACTCTCTTCATTGATGTGTTACTATCAAACCCAGACAAATTAAATACTAGATTCAGAGCTACTCCTTCTCAAAAGTAACTCTCATGAACAGGTGATCAGAGTTCACAAACAGTTCAGTGAAGTTCATCAAGATCTGAAAGTGGTGTTCAGTGTCCCAGGGAACAGTACCCTTGCTACTGAGCATGTTTGAATAAATGGGATGTCCCTTTCACTGTCCAGCTTTGCCGTACCAAAATATTTCACTCCCTCTCCCTCTCCCTCTCCCTCTCCTCGTAAAAAAAAACCTCGGAATGGCAAGCCTTGCATTAGGGATGCAAGCCAAGATCAGCTTAGAAAGTATCACTCCTAAGTACACTCCTCTTCTCTTGTTTCAGTTATCTGGAAATCAGAGACATGCAACAAAGAACAGCAAGAGGAACCTTTTGTCTGTGAGAGAGCCCCAAGTGACACACAAGTACAAATTGATAAAGAACAGAGTTTTACAGAATATTTGCTAGAGCAGTGCAGTGAGCTGATTTGAAACGTTCTTTTTTTACAAGTGAGGTATTTGTCCCAAGGAACACGTATAAATGTTGAACTTGGGCTTTGCAGCAGTGACTTCATCATTCTGGCTTAATTTTTCAAACTGTTAAGAATCCATGTGCTAGAAGTGACTGTTTTACTTAAACTGTGGGCAACTTCTCCCTCTTCTTTGTCTATAAAAGTTGACATTTGCTATTGATACCAATTGAACATGTTAGTAGTTTTATTAATTTTTTCTGCAGATTAATTAGCAGACTTGTCTTATAGGCTGTTATGAAGACAGAAAATGATATGAAGCAAAGATATTTCAAAACAAGTGGGAGATTGAGTTAGCTTGTCCCTGCCTCTGTATAATCTGAGTCCTTGGTGTCCATTACTACATCCAGGAGACTATTTGATGTGGAAAATACAGTATATGATGTCTGAACTGTGCTGCTGAGATGGAAACAAGCTCAGCCTGTGAAGTCATTCACACAGGTCCTCTTGGTGCCATATAGGGGGTATGTGCTGAAATGAAGCTGAGGATTTGGGTCTAAACCACAAAAGTGATTTTCAGTGTATTTCAGGTGACAAAAAATAGTTAGAAACTTACAAAATGTAATTCAGACTTTCGAAGTTTTCACCTGTAATACAGCTATGTAGATGGAGAAGTGTTTAAAAAAATTATTTAAAGTGTTAAAAAGCTATTTTAAATCCATTATCAACAGAAATATTCCTGAAGTAGAGACACTTTCATGAAAGTACATTAAATTCCAGGCAGTAATTTGTTGAAATACATTTTCCAGAATGTTTTAATGGTTTACTCATAACCATTTATAATATGATCACCTTTTTTTCTGAAGTAATCAGATACACTTCTCTCACGAGGTCACATATAGGATGGCTGGAGAGAGTTGGTCTTGCTGCTCTGTAACTTCTAAGTTAAACACTTTGCTGCTCCTTTATTTCTTTAGCATGTTATATATATAAAATATTATTACTACTGCATGTAATGTGCCTATGCATGTTTTTATATACACACTTAAAACATCATCAGTTTTTGAATACACTAAATATTTCAATGACACATGCTTGTATGCCTTTATGCATACACATACAATTTTTTTTAATGTAATTGTCTCACAAACTTTGGAGACTTATGACTTTTAGTGGAATGCATAATTATTTATGTAGTTAGGATTCTTCAGTTGAAATTTTTTGTTGCTCCAAGGTCAAAACATCAATGAATATTGGACACCCCAAGTTCAGTTTTCCTGCACAGAACAGATATTTCCACACCTAAGAACATGGATACTAAGAAAGAGAGTGGGAGGTAGATTTTTTACAGGAAAGAAGGGGGACAAATGGTATCTGAGTCCCACCATCTCTCTTCAGAAAAACTGAAACTATTGTCCAAAGGAAATGGATGCTGAAAGACGCTATGGACATTGTTTATATTTGCTGTTGTTATTCATTATTCAAGAGGCAGCTGGGTATAAAAACTCAGTGAATTCCCAGATGTTCAGAAAGGGATTCTGACACCAGTGTCAGAACAACTCCAAAGTGGGAAGGCTTGGAAGTTGCCCATCATAGGCTCAGGATTTTGGGATCTACATCCATTTGCTCAACCTGCCAAAGCAGCTGGTACAGCCTGAATCATGTATGCAAGTTCTGAACCTTCTAGTTCCTTCTCTTTCCTTCTAATTCTTATGTATGTTTCTCCCTTCCCACCATTCCCAGTCTGTATCAGTAGACAGTGCAATGTGAATGTGTTTCACACTCTCTTTTCCATGGCAAATCTCTTTTCCTTGTCATAAGAGTTCTACACAGGATCCTCCCCAGGGTGCACAGGCTGGCCTGCTGAGTTGCAGTAATCAAGGCGATGGTTCTGGAAGATCTTCTTCACAAAGGGCCCATTGACTGCCCATTTTAGGAGAGAAGTAGTGACATGAATGCAGCCTTTCTCTTTCCGTGATTGAATTGAAGAGGAGGTGAGCTGCTGCCTGAAGCTGGGGACAGATAAACAGTGCAGACACAGCTCTGTGTCTGCCTTCGATGTGTGGTGAAGCTGAACCATCGCTACAGGACCAGCTCATCTCTACACCTAGCCCAAACACAGTATTCCATCCAGGCATTTTCCTAGAAGTTGCTGTCTCATCTATGTAGTTTACCAGCACAAAACAACACCCAACCAGAAATTAAGGCCTGTCCCCATGTTTGGAAGTCTGTTTGCTAGGGCAAGTAATGACCATTCTGAGTTTCTTCATCACATGCATGGCTAGAGCAGATCTTAATGCTGCTTGCTCACCTTTGTGGCTAAATGAGACTGATGGGGCTCAATGAAGAAGCAGCTTGCTCCTTTCAGTTGTGCAAGAGAGAATGAGCTGATGGACATATTGCTGGTCTCCTTTCTGGTGGACAGTGAAAGTCCCTTATTGATGGCAGATGTATCTGGATATCATTGGGAATGTTAAAGACAGGTTGGCAGTGAATGGAAGGTTCTGGTAGCTGGAGATAAGGAATCATAATCAATGCTGTCTCCTGCTTTTGCAGTTGCCCAGTATGTCTTTATTTGCTAAACCCCATGGGCTTCTTCACTGGGATCTTTATAAGACAGCTGAAAACAAATAATCCCTGGAAAGTATCCAGGAAGATCTTATGAAAAATAAGAAGTAGGAAGAAAAAAAGTTAATATCAGAGATATAAATATAGGCTGAAGGATGTTAGAAGAATCCAGGTGACAAATGGCATAGCTAGCAATGGGTGTTCCTTGGATGCTCTTCTGCTCTCCAAAATCTGGGCACAAAATCAAGTGCTTTGTAAGTTATGAGAATGAGCTAACATGAGACTCATACTCTCTTACAGTCTGGACAGGAAATGTTCTTGCAGTGTTTTGGCTTCATTCATTGTGCCCAGATGACAAGCAACAGTGTGTGAAATGAAAAATGATGGAGTGGACATGGGTATAAGTAGGTTGATGTATGACAGCATTTTGTGTCTTGAGAGAGTTTTGTATCTTAAATGGAATCTTCGCTCACGTTCAGAGGGAGGAACATGAAAAAAAACATTTTGAATTGTTCCCATATTTTTGGATTATGTTCACCTGCCCCTGCTAGGCTGGAGCTGTGAGCAAAATCCTCTGAGAAGAGATGCCTCTTAAGAATGGGGAAACTTTCTAAGAGCACACAAATGTGCCAAAAAACCAAAATATGCTGAAAAACATGTAATGTCCTGAGAAGTTACTCTTGTGGTCAGCCTGCACTTTAAAAATACTTTTTTACATAAATTCCTAATTGGAAACTTCATCAGTTTGAACAATAATGCTTCAGAAGTAGGAAAGTTTGATACTTATGGCAGAATACCATGACTTTCCAGCATGGAAAAAAATAAGAGAAATTCAAGGGAATAAGTTTTCTCTTCCCTCTTGGACCCCTATGTAAAGATTTCAAGCTTAAGGTAATCTTCCCAGTATTAGTTGCTGGGAATTAATATGTCCTCCCCAGCTGTTACTTGTAGATGCCAGGCCAGACTGTAAAAACTAAATAGACTTCAGTGGAATGCCTAAAATTAATTTTCTCACACAGATACTTTCATCTCACTCATTTCATTGTGTTTACAGGCTGGAAGGTTTCCTGAGGGCAGCCATGATTTAGATTTACAGTTCCGTGGTAAGTCTGATTCTGAAGGAAAGTTATAACACCTGTAATGTAATACTGTTTCGAAAAGGAGTGAAAAATGTTTTAGTCTGAAAAGGAAGCCTCTAAACTCCAATAATCACAGTATATCACATATCTCTGCACCCCATTGCAGCAGCTGAGGTTGCCATTACTTCAAAACAGCTTCAGTTCCCTTTCCCTTGTCTCCACCCTCTTTTTACAAAGAAACTAAACTTGCCTCATCATGCTGGAGACTTGCCTTTAGAAATTTTCCTGGACTTCCTCCTGTCGAGGTTAGGCTGGGAAAACACTGGGATTTTGGGGAGGGAAGGAAAACAACTGTGTGATGGTGCAGTGCCTCTTCCTGACTGCTTAAAATAGACTGGACATCCTTGCCATGTCCTGCCAAGCACTGGACAGCTAAATTTTCACTCTTTAACATTTATGGACTCCCTTACATGTGCTGATGACCACCAAGGCGTGTTACAAGCGTCACCAAGAACGACGTAAAATAAAAACTTCAAACAGTAGGAGGTCAGAAGCAACACCAAAGTCTTGTTTTCACAGAAAACAGCAAGAAAACAGAAGTTTAAAATTTAAAAAAATGGGGAGTAAGGAAAAATACAAACACCCAATTTTCCTCTGAGCAGATTGTTCTTACAGTATCTTTTATCATTATATTTAGAAGCTGCTTACAGAAACAATGATTACTGTTATTCCTCCCATACACATTAATTTGAATATGATCCTTTTGAGGTGTGATATGAGCTTTTATATCTACTGCAGTTTTTTACTTCCCTTCTTTTCAGTTTTCCACATGCCTCTGTAATTCTTGTTACTAGACTATTGGAAAGCAGGATGGTCTAGGCATTTCTTGGAAAATGCTTTTTTTAATGAGATTTCTCTACTGAAATGTAGAGATTGTGTCAGAGATTCAAAGATTTGTTCATTGGTAAATAGATTTGTACTTGTAAATAAGAAAAAGAAACAGGCCCAAAAATTCTGAATAACTACCTCAAATTAAATACTTAAATACTGATATATATATATATATTTTATATGGAGATATTTTCTCTCCATCAATGGCAAGGAACTTTTCAGCTTTCTAAGAAGGAGTTCAGTAATAATAATCAAAGTTCCTGGTGATAGAAACAGTATTGCAGAAATACTTTAAAATTCACGTATTACATTATTCCAGATCTGACTGCTCTCCCTATTTACTGTATCCTTAATGGGTGCTCAAGAATCACATAAGATGTGTAAGGTTTCTAAACTAAAAACCATTTAACTTTTATTGGAGAAAGGAGCTGCTTCCAAACGAAGCAATCCAAAATTTTACTTTGATCCCCCACCCATGCCGTTTTTCTGAGTAATCCCCAAACCAGTTTTATATTAAGCTTTAAACTCGTATACATCAGCTTTGGAACTGAAACTACCTTGTGAAGGAGCATATCACGTGTCTGTTCTTCAGACCAAGGGAAAAAGGGGCAGACAGCCAGGTCACAAATGACTTCACCCCCATGCAGGGCATGGGGTCTGGGGCCAAGACTAGATCTCTACTATTTCTTGGTTGGTTCTTGACAGCTGCAGCTGATGCCAAGGGAATCTGTGGGCTGCTCTCGCCTGTGAGCTAGCAAGCTCTGTCACCTTAATATGTTTCTAATGCAGGGCTGATAGGTTTAACTACTGCCTCCAATTTCATTTGAAGAATGTAATTTAAAATCTGGCTTTTGTGTCCGTTGTGCTTTCAAGGAATGTAGCCCTTCTTTGAGAAGGAGGTTGAACCTGTTGACCTCCTAGAGTCCCTTCCCTAGAGCCTGAATTACCCTGTCACTTCTAAGTTTTGGTGATGACAGGCTTTGGCTGTACCAGGCTTCATCTGGTACAAGACGCCAAGATCAGTTTGGAAAACACCCGTATTCTCAGCCTGTGTAATATAGATCTGTGCATGAGACAATGATAAAATCACATTGTATGTCCTTTACATTTACTGTAAAATGCTGACAAAACTTTTGGGGAATGTGAGCTGTAACTCACAAAATTTGAAGACACAAAATTGCCATGGCACTGCTCCAATGACTTCTTCATCCTGTGGCATGCACAGTGCTGGCATGTCTTCTCTGTCTCTGCACCCTCAACGACCACCCCATGTATGAGGAATCCGACATCAGGTAAGAATCAGGTGCTCTTGAAGATTTGGACATGCCAGCATTCAGCAAATATTCAACCTACACGTGGTTTCTGGAGTGATTTAGCCCCATTTCAGGAGCAGAAAGCTCATGGAGATCTGAGACAGATCAGAAGTGACAGTGTAAGCCAGAATATGCTTCAAAAATGAAAACTCAAAGGAAATCACAAATGTGCCTTTCTGATTTTTTTTCTGTACTTATGGGTTTGGGGATTTGCTTCAGAAGAAAACCAGCAAGATGGCACCCAAACATGTGAGGTAGTATCAGTCTGGCCTGCCTTTGTTCTGTTTCCTATAGAACATGCTTGCATATGCAGAGCATTTGGGCTTGAAAATATGATTCTCTTCTTCTACCTTAGGGATCTACAAAACCTGAAATAACCTCTCCTGGGGTACAAAAGAACAAGACAGATAATATTCTGGAGCTTTCAGTGAAATATAATCCTTTTTATCCCTACAGTAAAGAGAATAACCCTGCAACTCAAACACAGAAGGCTTGGAAGAGACAATGATTTTTCAGCTGACCTTTTATTTCAATAAATTATTTTATTTTGTATATCAACACAAGTACTATGTTAAAAAAGTTAATGCTATTGAAAGTGATTAGCAAGCACATCTGAGTTAACATTATGTAAACATAATAAAAGTTGACCTAAGAACAATACCTGCTTTAATTTATTCTGTTTAATAAGCATCTCTAAGAAGTTCATCCCAAAGCCCCACCGTTTTCACAACTGCCCGTTTGAGAGGACAGTGCCTGGGAGCCCATGCTGAGAAGCAGCATTACTCCCTAGTGTTACTCAGTTTTCAACATCTTGTGCTTACATGCTGTCAAATGGAATTGCTAGCAAGCACTGGTAGGCTATCACTCTGCAGGTTTCATGGAGTTTGTCCTGCATATGGGAGACCTGCAGTAGGGTTAAATGGAAGTGAAGTCCCTGAATATAAGGAACAGCAGGATGATCAATCCTGTTTTGGCTGTTAAGTTGCCAATAAAGCCAAGCCCAGAAAAATTGACCACATAGTTTCACTACATCCCAGCCATAGTTTTGGCTGCATCACTAAGGGCATCCCAGATAGGAGGTGGAGAATTAGCAGGTGTAGACCTAACTGTGACATTCATAAGCCCCTCTGGGCACTGGTTGCACTTGAAAATTACAGAGTAACCGTATGGCTGCTGTTGGTAAACCTCTGCTGTTCAAACCCTCTGCTCAAGCAGAGCCACCTATAACCAGCTGCCCAGTACCCTGTACAAGTGGCTTTCGAACATCTCCAAGGAGGAAGACTCCACAAGATGTCTGGAGAGCCCTGTGCCAGTGCTGAGTGAAGCTCATATTAAAAATATGTTTCCTGATGTTTGGAGGGAACCTCCAGTTGGTATTCATTGTCCCTTCTCTTGTCACTGGGCATCAATGGAAAGAGTATCTCTCCTCTTGTCTGCTACCAGTGAGTGCCCAAGGTTGGACTTGGCTGGAGAGAAATGAGCATGACCCCATCAGCCCCCAAGTGGCTGAGAACTGTCCTTCAGGAGGTTGAATTACTTAGGCTTTATTAACATATTTTTTTTAAAAAAAGTGCATCTATTCACTACATAGCTTGAAGAAAATTTGTCCAAACTTCCTGACAGTTCTATCCACATTTCTAACAGAATCAGGATTAACCACCTCTATTAACTGGTTGTTCCAAGTGGGCTGAAGAATGCAGTTGATGTTTGCAAGGTCTGTAGTTTACCTTTAAAGGAAATGGATACCTTGTTTAGAGATGGAAGATGGCAGGAATTTCCCAGTCTGCTTATCTGCTGCGAGGTGGCTCTGGCCTGGAGCAGGAGTCCAGACTTGGGTCAAGTTGCAGTGATGGTTTTAGCGCCTCCTTATGACATGATTTTTGCCAAGCATTGGAACAGGCTGCCCAGACTTAAGTCACCATCCATGGAGGTATTAAAAAGATGTGGAGATATGGCACTTAGGGACATGGCTGAGAGGTGGACTTGGCCATGCTAGGTTAACAATTGAACTTGGTCTGAGAAGTCTCTTCCAATCTAAATGATTCTACGAGTGTCTTTCCAAGGACTCAGATGGCCAACATACTTGTGCCAAAACAGCCCCTACAATTATATTCTATCAGCTTCTGTGGCAGTGTCAGGTGGGTTGATCCCACCAGCCAAGCACTCACCCAGTTGCTTGCTCTGTTCTCTCCAGGACATGTGGAAAGAGAACTGGAAGGACAAAAGGGGGAAAAACACTTGATGGATTGAAAAACCTGAAATAATTTTAGCAAATGCAAAGGGCTTTGATTGCTTTGATAGTTTTCTCCAGCAGCTAAAAATCAGTAAAAAGTAAGTCATCGTTATAATTTTTAAATTTCTGGCTTTATCCTTTAACTAGACACTGGTTCCTTCTGTATCTTTCTCTGCTGAACTAAAAGGCTTTTGAAAGCCCAGTGTTTTATTTCCGTGGAGGTATTAGTAGACTACAATTAAGCTTTTTCTCAAATTTTCTGTTTCTCAATAACTTAAAAACATTAAAGACTTCAGAGAAGATCCCTAAATCCTTGCTGTAAGATACTTCTTCCACCCCATCAGATCATCATAAAGTATGGCCTTTTCTGTACCCTTTCCATGTCTGTGTTTGTGTGTGTGCATGTCTGAATGTTGAATGTGTGACCTTCAAAACTGTCCAGATGCCCAGTATCCAGCTCACTGACGTTATGGTGAGAGGGAAATTCATACTTTCAGCTGTTTACTGCTTTTCTTTTTTATCTGTTCAAGAGCTATAATAATCTGATTTGTCTCTACATCAACAGAATAATTCCTGTTGAGCTGAGACTCCTACTTACCGCACTGCCACCCACACTGCAGCCCATGCATTTGTAGGCATGACTTTCAGGACTTCCTTTTATGATCATGGTCATGTACTAAACAGTCACATAGAAGCCTATTTTGCATAAATAGTTCAAATTCTCCAAACAATCCAGGCTGCTTAAGCAAATATGCATATGTATTTCTGTGTGTATACACAAGCGTAATTTATATTATTTGTATGTATTATGATTTTATAGTGTGCCACTATACCAAAGAGTCCTCATGGTTATTTGCCACCTTGTCAGTTTGTGTCATCTGCAACTGTTATGAGCTCCTGTGCTTCTGGACCTCTGCCAGATCTTCAGCCTGATCATCTGTCAGAGGCAGCTCTCCATATGAGTTAAGGACCTATGGAAGAGCTGGGCTGTCATAACAGAGAAAAGAGAGATGAAGAGGCAGGAGGTGACAAAGTCCTCATTTTTAGTAAAAAAATGGAATTCTATTGTACTGTAATTTGGAATTTTTCAAACATTCAGACTTAGCTATTTTAAAGTCCAAAAGCTTAGCAGAAGAGGCACTCATACACTGAAGCACTTATGCATTGTCTCTTTCATAATTTGTCTAAGTTGCAGTTCTAAGGGGATATAAATCAACATATTATAAATGTTTAGTCCCTACAGTTTGTTCAAATCATCTCCATGAAAGCCATCTCCTTGCCATAGTACTTCCCCGCCTTATTTTCTCACTCACTTTTCAGTCTTTGAATCCAGCATTAAGATTTCATCTTCACCTTCCAGAGGTTGCAAAAATATGCTACATCCTTCATTTTGCTGTTGCCCTCCAATCTTTTGCTAGCTGGATCTGGATCTTGTACCTGCAGACCTGCAAGCGTTTTTGCTTGAACAGCTCCTCAAGCTCATGCCCACATGCACATTTTGATACAGGTTCCAGCCACTGTAGGTGACAGAGCCTTACATTGGTATGAAAGCACCTCAGAAGAGCTTTTGTGAAATGCCTATTTCTGAAATTAGGCTTGTTCTTTGGGAAGAAAGCAGGTTAGACAGGAAAACAAAAAATCTTTTGTTTGGACACTTTCAGGTTGATGCCACAACGGCTTGTTGAGAGAGCAGGCATATGTGCCAGGGTGTTACTCCCCTTTGCCAAAGGCAAAGTGTCATCCTTCTCTGCAGGTACTCTGCCAGGAGTGGAAACAATTATGATTACTTTGGCAAACTTTATGATTCTGGGAGACAAAGGAGTGTCACACGAGAATTGGAGCGTAGGTATTAATACTCAGCACTCACCAGCTGTACTCCCTGTCTGTTGAAGGGCTGCAGTTGCTTGCCATGCTGCAATAGTTAAACCCCTTCCTGATTGTTTAGCTCAGTTTGGTTTGCTATCTCTCTCACACAAACACATAAACTTTGTACACAATCAACATAATGTAGGCAAAAAATTTTAATGAGCCTAGTGAGAACTTCTCATGTATGCAAAATGACTGAAGGATTCTTGTACCGTGTCTCTCAGAGTGTTTGGTTGCTCGTTCTGTGCGGTGTGGTTGTGCTGCTCTATAACCTCTCTGGTTCAGTTTGGCTGGAAGACAACTAGCCTATTCTGCCATTTATTAACTGGCTGAAGGGTATTCTGGAGAGTTTAAAATAAAATAAATTTTCAACTATAAAATAAATTTCCAACTATAAAATAAATTTTAGAATAAATTTTAAACCATAAAACTTGAAGAGCTAAGCCTGTGGTTTGAAGGCATTAAATTGGAACTCCAGGGGATGCACCAGTTTCTGTAATGGCTGTTGAAATACTGCTTTGGGGAAACATGTCAGGTCATGCAGGCAGCTGCATTTTAGCTGAAAATGATGAAAACTAATAGTACATAATTTACATTATTTAATAGTAGGGCAGTATTAGTGTGACTATGCTCCTTTGAGGATATGAAGATGCAGTGGGGGTAAAGAAGCACTAACCAAACAAGCTAATTAATTTTCTAGTTCTATCATATATTTAGACCAAGAGATCATGGTAACACTTTCTGTGATGCTGAGGAATTGTGATTACTATTTCTGTGGTGCTGCTAATGAACTGATTTTCAGGCTATGTTTAATTTTGGTTAAATTCTGGTTAATAACTTCTTGAATATATGACTTGTAAAGCTTTAACATAATGCCTTAAAAGATTTGGTAAATTGAAAATACTGTTTAAGCTTGTAGCTATCAGTGCTCTAGTTTGGAAATTCCATGGAAACATTAATTAAAATACCTCAATGGATAGAATATAAAATATAACCCAAGCTCCTTCTTAGCATATAACACCCCTAGAGCTGGTCATTAGAGGTAAGGGTTTGTTAAACCACAAGATAGGGAGGGATGAGAAGAAGGTGTTTCTGTATACACTGGGGGAAAAAAGACTGATTAAAAAATTGTCAGAGGTGGCTCCTGTAGTCATCATTAGCTATAAAAGCAGAAAAGACACAGATCTTAAACTCTCCAGGACATGACAGCCTTAAAGGACATTACAGGTGCTGATTAGTGAAAATCACAGGCAAGTGGCAGCACTGCAGAAACCAAGGAAAATTTTCTTCATTAAATGTCATCTTAACAATGTGTTTGCTATTTGATCTTCTGGTAAATTTCTCCTGTTATTTTCAAACTATGGCTTTTAAGTGTTCCTTTATTTGCAAAGCTTAAACAGTTTTAAGGCTGAAAGATCAGACACAAGGCACTCCATTCCCTGGGGAATGGATACCTTACAAACCCCAGCTGGAGACCATTTTCATAGTCACCAGCATATCCCAGCTCTCCAAAGGGTAGAGGAAGCACCTAGATGGAAATGGAAATGAC